TCAAATATGTTTCCCAGGTTTATCAGTCGTTATCAGTCGTTTGATATTCAGGCATACCTCGTTCTATTAAGGTCACTTTATTGTGCTTTGCAGATATTGTATTTTCTACAAATTGAATGTTAAGACCCTCCACCAGCAAAAAAGATTACACTTCACTGAAGGCTCAGATGAGGGATAGCATTTTTAGCACTAAAGCATTTTTAATAAGTTTTTATTGATTTGGGGGAGAGGGAGAGGAGAAACATATTCGAGGGAGGGAGGGAGGGGGTAGAGAGGGAGAGGGGGAGAGAAGGAGAGAAGGGGGGGAGAGAAAGAGAGAAAGGGAGAGGGAGAGGGAGAGGGGAGGGGGGAACAAACGAACCATGAATGTGAAAGAGAAACATAAATTGGTTGCCTCCCACATGTCCCCTACCAAGAATCGAGCCTGAAATCTGGGCATGTGCTCTGACCTGGAATCAAACCGGAGCCCTTTCAATGCATGGGACAATGTTCAACCAACTGAGCAACATCAGCCAGGGCACCAATAAATATTCTTAAGTTAAGGTATCTACACTGTTTTTTTAAATATATTTTTTATTGATTTTTTACAGAGGAGGAGGAGAGAGGGATAGAGAGCTGAAAACGTCGATGAGAGAGAAACATCGACCAGCTGCCTCTTGCACACCCCCTACCGGGGTTGTGCCCGCAACCAAGGTACATGCCCTTGACCGGAATTGAACCCGGGACCTTTCACTCCGCAGACCGACGCTCTACCACTGAGCCAAACCGGTTTCGGCTACACTGTTTTTTTAGACATAATGCTATTGTATACTTAATATACTATAGTATACATAGTATAAACAAAACTTTATATGCACTGAGAAACCAAAAAATTCATAAGCTTCATTTTCCTTTAATACTGGCTTTATCACAGTGGTCTGGAATGGAACCCCAATATCTCCGAGATACCCCTATATACACATAGCCAGAAGTAAAAATCATACAATCTGAAAAAAAAAAAAAAAAGTTTTATTCAGATTCAACCAGCTCCTTTTGACTGCGATAAAACAAAACAAAAAAACAAAAAAAAAAAACAGACATTTGTATGGAGGAAGATCAGTGTACTAATCTTGGAAGGTAGAAAGGTTTCATAGCAGACAGCAGAAACATGGGCGTGTAATGCCAGAACGGTCTATTCACTGGAAGCAACAAGCCCTTCAGATTCTGGTGTGAATCTCCCTCCATAGTTAGATTCCATGTACTGCTCAACTATAATGAAAACTGTGTGACGCTCAAAGGGAAAACACTATAAAAAGTAAGCCATACCACCCAATCATCTACTGGGGCATAGTTTTTCAACTGGGAAAAAAAAACAGATTTTAGAAGTAATCCATTTGCTTCTATACAACAAATATTAAGACAATCTTCAACTTAAATTAAAACCACACTTTCTTAATACAAAATCCGTTAGCTAAAATATACTGAAGGCTGCCAAGATAGACTGAGGGCTACTAAAACCTAAAAGAAACAACAAAAATGTTTGGATGCCCTAGTTGCAAAATACATGAACTCAGCTAGAAAAGTACTAGTGTATTTGCAGCCAACAGGAATCAGGATTAAGCTACAGAAAGACATGTTTTTCTTGTCATCTTTATTCAAGTATTTCACAGCAGTTATATTACAAATTACAGTAAATGTTCAAAATTCCAGAATTCAAAAATTAAATAATTTACTTCAAACTAATGTAAAATGAAGTCAAATGCAAAACATCAATTTAGCACAATTCTAAATAAACTACAAACCCAAAATAGACCCTCGTGATGAAGTCTACTTAAATCTACAAAGTAGACACACATGACTGAAACCAAAAATGACTCCCAAAGTTTTAACAACCGAATGTATAAAATACAAAAGATGCAGGTACAAGCCCAAATTCAAGCTTACAATGTGATTACAAATGATAATTATAACAACAATGGCATTCAGCTACGGGACCTGACACTGACGATACTGAATTAGCACCATAGCTGAACCAACTTAATCAAAAAGTGGGAGGATATTATGATCCCACTCCCTAAAACAAAATCCAGTAAACCTACAAATACATTGGCATATGAGAAAAATCAAGTCATGAAAGGACATAAAGCGAAACAAAACAAATTAATCACAGGTGAGATTCAAGCTCAAAAACACAATTAGTTCCACAGCCATCAGTTCGATCCTAGTGCGGCTCCGCCTCTCCCACAGCGCCCGCGGTCCCCCAGCTGAGCATTAGCTGTTGTTGGGCTGTGTTGCAGCACACATTTTATTGATCTGAGAGCAAGGTTTTACATGGGAGCTCATCATTTATAATGCTCACAATAGGAAATAGGAACAGAGGTCAATTTGTACATATTTTTGCCAATGCAAAAATTAAGAATTTACAGAAAGGTAAACAAAATTGAGTCCACTTGGATAATTTCACAAGCTGCTTTGAACTACAGAACCACCAGATGTCTGTACAATAAGCGACACTGACAGTGTGTGTTTCTTTTGGGGGAGAAGGGAGCTGAAGCTCCTTTTGCTCCCCTTGGCATTTGATTGGCTGTCTCTTTAAGACCTAAACTGTTCAAAGTGGCAGTTCCTATCATAATGAGGTTGCCTCCTATTTCTCCATCTATAGTAAGGTTAAGGTTTTTAAAATTTTGATCTTTTGGAAGCATTTTAATGCTGAACATAAATTTCCTTGTCAAACTCACTGATGGCTAAAATCTTAATAAACTTGTACAAATTTAGTAACTTCTAACAACATGTGCGTTTTTACTTTTCCTTTCACAAGTGCTGCTGTTACTTGAACAGAATGTTTCTGAATTAGAGTAACTGGAATAAATATTTAAAAAAAAATAGTGCAGCAAGAACCTGAGACTTGCAAAAAACCCTTTTACCAGAAACTTGCTACAAAAAATCTGCTACATCTTATTTCTTCATCAAATCTTTAAATTCTGTAACAATTTCCATCAAAATACAAAATGTTAATGTATTAGACAGCAAAATAGTCTGAACTGGCATGATGGTAATAAATACTAAAGAAAGCATGTTAATCCTCCCAATAATCAAATTAGAGGTTTCAAATAACCTCCCCTTTAAAATGGTTCATCGTTAATCGCACTTGCCCACCTTAAAAATACAGTGTGACTACATGGGTAGCATCTTGAATTACATGACTAACTGAATATTATGAAAATTTAAACTAGGTATATAGAAAACAAGTGGCATTTTTCAAAAAACAAGCGAGAACTAGAAGGCGTAAAATGTTTCTGCTAATGCAAAGAAGCACTGGGATTACTGCGGCAGCCATGGCCACGGCGGGCTTGCTGTGCTGGCATCCAGCACATGGCACAGCCGGACAGGAGACAAGTACCTTAGCTTCAGCGTGTAAACGGTGGCAAAGTGATTACAGGACTCTGTAAACACTGTTGGTAACTAAAATACAAAAAGCTGAGGTAGCTCAGGATCTCTGCAGTAGTCCAAGACCATTCGCTCTAATTAAAACGCAAACTGCATGTGTTGCATATACTGGAAAGACAGGCCTGCAGCTAACAGCTACAATGAATGAAGATATCAAGCCAACTTGTCAAAATTTTCTACTTTTTTTGTTTAAAAATCATCTGATAAAAAAATGTCACTGCGCTCCCTTTTGCCTCTTTGCACCTGCCTAGACTGTGTCTCCCAATTTTATAGAAAGTTTTGTAAAACTAGTGACCCATAATTAATTTTAGGTAAGTACAACTCACAGAAATCGTTCAACAAGATCCAAAATGGGTTCCAATCAAAATGAACAGTTGTGTAAAGGTTAAGCTTAGGGTAAGGGATTTAAACATTTAATACTGTCATTCCAAGAACCACACCAGAGCTCACTTGCAACTATGCATATAGAAAATGAATTTTATGAAGCTTCTGACAAATTCCTCTCTTTTCTGTCCATTTGGCAAGCCCTGGCTTTAAAACAAAACAGTACCAATTTATTGTACATGAAAATCATTCTCTGGGAACTCAAACATGAATAACTAGTAAATTGCCGCTGACAGAAGAACGTCTGCTATCTATTTATTTCTGGTCATCATTGTCAGCAATACCGAAAAGTGTGTGTGTGTGTGTGTGTGTGTGTGTGTGTGTGTGTGTGTGTGTGTGTTTTAGTGGACTGTGGATTCTTTTTGTACTTGTTTATTATGTTTTTTTTAAAACAGAAACAGGCCATTCGGGAAAACTTACCTTTTTAATATATTATGTGGCATACCAAGTATCTTGACTGAGTTCTGAAAACAAGATAGGCATTTTATACCAAAACACTGGTTGCCTCTTACTGACACAGAGTATCAAACATTTTTAAGGTTGTGACCAAAGAAAACATTCTAGTTCATTTGCTACAAACAAGCCCATTCTTTTGTTTAGCCTTATCTTTCTCAAATGAATAAAAAGGCACATTAAAGGCAGTTCTAAAGAGCCGAATCTAATTTCATCCAGTTTCTTCAGTTTCCCATCAGAATATACCATAACCAACTCTTGAGCAGGTTTCAGTCCATTACCCAGAGGAAAAAATAGAAACAAATATGATAAAAGGGGTAGAAAAGAGAAAAAATAGAACAGGTTGCCCACTGTTTAAACAATTCAACAGTTAGAACTGCCCCTGGATCCAGGTTCCCATTTCTGGCCGCTCCCTACGAGAGCAGTTTTCGAAAGAGCGCGCGCGAACAGAGGAGCAGAAGTGAGAGCAGTTTCTGTAGCACCGAAGTCTCCGATCTGTGGGTTGTATTTTTTACTTGTGGAAAATACAACACTTCTGAAGTTCTGTTTGGTTCTTGTAGGCTGGTTGGTTTCAGGTACCTGAGACAATAGCACCAAATTCAACAGAGAAAGAATGAGAGAGAGAGCACTTTACACCTAGGCCCTGCCCGTGATTGGTGCAATTTGAAATTGAATGGCTCAGAAGACTGCTCGGTCAGGAGCAGATTGGAGAGGATAAACCACTCATCTTGCAAAGTTCATAGGAATGTCTCAAATGTATGAACTGTTCTTTCCATCTCCTATAAGAGAAAAAAAAAGTGCATGTCATCTATTAAAGGAAGGACACATTATTATGGGGAAATTTAACATTTTAAATACAAGTTAAGCTTTAAGCATTTTTCTGATTACAATACCAAGCTACTCTGTAAGACTATCTGCCCCAGACACCTCCAAATGCCTCCCATTTTACAGGTAGGCTGATGAGAATGGCACTCGTTAATACTCAACGAGTCCTTACTACAAATATTGTGCTAAGAAGTTTGTATGTACAGATAATTTGTCAACTAATAAGTAGCAGAGTCAGGATATGAATGCAGGTAGCCTCACTCCAGAGCCTGAGCCCTTTCTTACTCATTACATTAAACTAACACCCAAAGCAAAACAGATGCGTTAAGTATCGTAAAACGTGGACCCAAAGTAGAACACACCCTGATCCCATTGCTCTTCACTCAACCAGAGCTAGGGGGGGAAAGCCAGGAGCACCGCTATCATCATCACCAAGAACGCCACTGACTGGTGCCTGTGCCATAGATCCCTCCTCTCTCTGACCAAGGCCTCTACATAACAGGGCTACGAGTGCCACACTGAAGGACATTTCACTGCTGAAGAACATCCAATCCTTTCAAGCTAATCAAGTTTCAATGTGAACAAAGAAGTCTGGAATAAGGAAAAAAGGTAAAAAACTCTACCCCACACATTTCATTTTGATGGGCAATTATCAAATATATCTAATACATTTAGTTTTCACCTCTGAAGATATTATAGTCTATGTTCTGAAGAATAGGGTAAACAGATTATAATCTGATCAAAAAGTTAACTCCTGCTAAATGTTTTTTACCTGGGTAGGAAAAAAGCGAGGCTATAAAATAGAATATACACTATGCTCCCAATTTCAAAATCTACATGCACATGCTTACACATGTCATGTACATCTAGACATTTTTTTTTTAAAGGATGGAAATTATTCCAAAAGATTACCACTAAGTTTCTTCTAGATGGGGTAATTTGGGTAATTTTTTTATTTTCTCATTTGTGCTTTCCTATTATTTCTATTCTAGAAGCCTGGTGCACAGATTTGTGCACATTGAAAGGAAATTAATTAGAAGGTGGCCAGAAGGGGAGGACGGGCCGGACACATCCTGGAGCTAACCTCCTGCGGTTCCTTCCCGGCTGGCTACACCTGGGGCCACGGCTCAGAGTGTCTGAGAGTGAACAGTGTCCCTCCGGCAGTCCAATATCTCCCGAGGGGTCCCAGAGTGTAAAAGGGCACTCTGCAAAGTTGCTGTCAATTGGCAGCTCCTGCATTGAGCATCTGCTCCCTGGTGATCAGTGCACATCATACCTACCAGCTGGTTGGCAGGTCATTTAGCCTTTTATATATATTGACTAGAGGCCCAGTGCACAAAATTTGTACATGGGGGGTGGGGCCCTCAGCCTGACCTGCACCCTCTCCAATCTGGGAACCCTCAGGGAAGCCCTCTCCAATCTGGGAGCCCTGATGGCTTAGGCCCACTCTCCATGGTTCTCTGCTCTCTGTGGGGCCTGGCCGTTCCACACCCGCTGCCCAGAGGCCCTCCGCGGCCAAGGTGGGGATACTTAGCTCGTCGCTGTGATGATGAAGCAAGCATTCCACCAGACCACTCACGCTGCCTGTTCTCAGCAGCCACCCACCTAACCCCCCAGGACTGGGGGACTCCAGCGGGACTGAGTGCACTGGGCACCGCTATTTTGTGGCTATGGGTACTGCCTTCTTTGTGATGGAGTGATGGTTAATTTGCGTATTACCCTTTTATTAGATAGGAAGGATATTGTGTAATGACAGTATAAATTCATAAAAATGTGACAATGTGATTATAATCTTTAAATGCCCTCTTACTTGATTCAAGTGCAATCAGTATTCTTTGTTACATATTTAAAATAATCACTTCCTTTACATATAAATCCTTACTCTTTTAGAAAAGCATCCCCAAAACCAAGCACAGTATCTGGAACTGTAGATCCTTAATAAATATTTAATAACTAGATCACCAGATAAACAGGCAAATGAACAAAAAATAGTCTAATTAAGTCACTTAGACAGTTAATAAGTAGATGAGGGATTACATTTGCTCAGATGAACTCAAAAAGCAGAAGTGTGGCTTCATGATGTAATTTATATGAACAAAGATATAAGTTCATATTTATAAGGAAGAACTTTCTTAAGGCTGAAAGTTGTTTAGAAATGGAACCGTTTACTGCTAAAGTATCTAAGCAAAGGACAACTACTCCTTCACATGGCTATTTTATAGAACTAAATCTATTAAATGAAATGACTTTTAAGTTTCTTTCTAACCACTAACTGGATGGTCATTAGGTCCCAGTGCCCATGTTAACCTCTTTTTCTTTTTTTCCCCATGTCAACTCCTTTTAATCAGCAGTAGCTGCCTAGAGGAGCATTGGAGACACTGCGTGGCCACACGCACATTCAACAAGCCTGCATGATACACCTACTCAGTGATAAGCAAGGGAGGGGAGAATTGTCACCTGCTATTTTGTGTCAACCCAGAACCATGAATTTCTGTGTTTCGATAAACAAAAAAAATCCCAGATTATTTCTGTCCTGAGACAAGATAGTTCAAATTATAACTTTTACTGACTCTCCTAATCTTAATTCTTCAAAACATTCTTCAGTTACTTGACAAAGATCTAGACTAAGATAACATTTCCTTTGGACACATAAAAGCACTTATCTGTTTGCTCAACAGATGAACCAAGCACTTACCTCAATAAGTTGTGATTTGTCATAATCTTTGCGGTGACGATAGATGCACTGACTAAGAAGAGAATATAATCTCTCAAGTTGATCAACTGCCAGATTGTTGCTTTTATCTACCAATAAATCAAGCAATTTCTAAGAAAAATTAGAAAAAAAAATAAATTTGATTTCACTATTCAAACTGAAACAATTATATATTCAATGCTAGGTAATAAATACAGGTGTGATGTTAACATTGAGTTGAGAAGATTCTAGGGCTTAGATTATAACCAAGATAATTCTAATTTTTCTAAACCCCACAAAGCATATATAACTCTTTTCTTTTTAATTCTCATCCAAGGACATGTGTATGTTTTTTATTGACTCTTAGAGAGAGAAATGGGAAGGAAGGAGGGAGGGAGGGGAAACATAGATGTGAAAGAAATATCGATTGCCTCCTGTATGTGTCTGACTAGAAATCAAACCCACAACCTTTTGGTGTACAGGACAATGCTCCAGCCAACTGAGCAACCCAGCCAGGGCCATAACTCTTTATTAGAAGCCTAAAGCACATATGTTCCTAGTTAAAGCAAAAAATTATTAAAAAAAATGGACACAGACACCAGGGGGGTAAGAGCATGAGTGGGAGTGGGGAGGAAATAGGGAATAAGGACACATATGCACCACCTTACTCAATAAAGAGAGAAAAAAATTATCAAAACTAGTTTTATTCAGTAGCTTACAAAACATTCAATTCGCCTTCCATTCATTTAAAACTGCCTGGGAAAAGCTAAACTTACCTTCAATCTCTCATGATCAACTATAAGAGGTGGCACAGGCTCAGCCGGCTCTTCTGGTACCAGCTCCAGGGTTGTTGCTTTTGCCTGTTCTAAAATTAACTTACGATATTTCTTTACTTTAGAAGCACCTACAATTGAGAGAAAAAAAGAATGCACTGCAGCAAGTGAAAGTTAAGAAGAATTAGGCTTAGCCAACTATAAACTCATTTGTCCACCATAAATCCTTTTTGGAATAAGAATGTATTCATTTTGGAATAACAGTGTCAGCAATAAATGGTATTGTTGTTTGGGTGTGTTTTTTTTTTGTTTTTTGGTGTCGTTTTTTTTTTTTTTTTTTTTTTTGGGGGGGGGTGTGAGAGAAGGTAAGGATAAGTAACCCAAATTAAAGAGAATTAAAACTCAACTATGAAAGCCAATCATCAAATAAATATATCCACTAAAAGGAACATAAAAGCAATCTTTATCTCTAATCACTAACTAGTAAACAGCTTTCACTCTCTTTGTGATAAATTTGGAGCTTTCAGAATTGGAAGGGAAGAAGCTACCTACAAAATCAGACACTAACCAATGAGGCCAGCCTGCTACCCTCTGCCTCCTGATGTGAGACATTTTCCTGAACATTGCCTGAACTTCCTTATTCTTCTCTGCTGCATTGCCTAGAATTCTGTTCTAATTGATCTGGGTTTTAAGATTTATTTCTTAAAAAATAAAGATCCATTAAAGCTATAATAGGGCTAGTGATCTTTCCTAGCTTAGAGTGAATTAGTATAACCTAATTACTTTCCTCCCAAATCTTGCTGAGATAAAAAGTACTAGTTGGGGGGGGAGGGGGGGAGGGGGGGGAGGGGGGGTTTGAGGTGGCTGAGCATAATTTGACAGCACCAGGCACTTATGTGACAAGAGGTAGGTAGACCATTGAGTCCTGTGCTCCCTTAAGTAGGAGTACTCTAAGAGGAGGCTGAGGGGAAGGAACACAAAGAGGAACTTAGACTATTTCAGAATTTTATACAGGGCCTGGTCCATGTCAATGAGACTAAGAAGAGCTTTCCTTCTCCTTCCTTATCCCTAAATTTTTAAACAAACCCTTCTCATCAGTGCCTGCTATATAGGTAAGTAATAAATCAAAATGTTGCCTTCAAAAGCATATTCCACAATACATCAGAGACATTTTATATTTCAGACAGCCTTTAGAATGAAATACTTGATTTATAGTTCAATTAACACTTGCTAGGAATTTTGTTAAGACCACACTGGTACTCATTAATACATCCATTGCCTTCTAGAGGCCTGAGAACTTCTATTAGAAACCACTGTTAGGTGACACTGCCCCGACAGTTACAAATGAGAACTTCAGGTAAAGCTGTACAAAACAAACATATTTAACACTTTTAGATTACCAACTGAACCTTTAAATCTTTTCTGCAAGCTTACTAAAATCTCATAACGAAGTAGTAGTAAAAAGGACTCCTCCCCTCAAACCCATTCTGCCGCATCATGTAAGTCTCTCCCTTTTTTCTGTCCCATTCATTACTTAACCTTAGCTTAACAGATTTTTTTAAGTTCTGTCTATATGACAGCCTAGAATAAATACAGCTTTTAAAACCATTTCCTATTATTAAATATAGAAGAAAAATTATTCAAGAATAATATTTAAGAACAGTACATCTCTCTTTATCCGTTAAAAGAATTCTAAGACTTTTGAGTAATATCTCCCTACTTCCTGATTCTGCTAGAGGGCTCAAAAAAACTGTCAGCAAAACCTTTTCCACTTAATACAAATCCCAGGCTAAAGTGTATATTCCACACAACTTAGCACAATTTTTTAGACAAAATTTCAAGATAGCCTCATACAAAAGAAAATGTATATGGGATTGTATAGATCTCTAACTCATCCCATCCCACAATGGGCTAAAGAATAATAAAGTAGGGCTAGAGATCCTCAACTCCCCATTTCTGCTTCTTCTTAAAAGAGTTACACAGCCATAGGAGGCCAGGAGCTGGCACAGCGCTCTCACTGGGAGAACAAGGCAAATATGACAGCAAGAGTTCTGCTGCCTTCCTCTACCCCTGGCCCGACAAAGCAATGGAGCCTCTTAGGCTAAACATCCCTCAGATTCAACTACCAGTGATGACTGAATACTACCTGGAGTGAACACTCCTCAGAACATGCCAGGTACCAGGAGAGGCAATTAATATACATGACATCTGTGGTAGCTCTAGTGACACCATTCTCAAGTTTTATTTAAAAAGTGAAAAAACAGGGTTGGAGAGTATAAGTATCTAGCTTAGTCACATGATTATAATGAACAGGAGTGGTAATTTAATGTGGTCTACATGACTGAATATACCACACTGCTTTAGTACCTAAGTCATCTCAGACCAACCCACCCACACCCCATCCCAGTAACTGTTTTGTTAGATGCCATCTTCTTAACACCTGTGGATGTATTCATCTTTCAGTCATAAATGAGAATAGGGATGATAATCAGGTGGGAGCCAGAAGTGTAAGCGGCTAGGAAAACAAAGCATTCTAGAACACAAACCTTTTGACATGTTCACCAAAATTTAGTATGTATGTGCATACTTTTGTAGGGCAACTAGAAACTAGAAAACTTTAACAGATTTTCAAAGAAGTATAGTTATTTGGCAACCATTTTTAGTGAGGGCTAGACAAAATATGCAATTAATTAACTCTGGAGTTTTAAAACTTCAGAGGTTATTAAAATATTCTCTCTACCTTCTTTATCCAGCTCTGGGTCTTTGACCTCCACATCAGGGCCAGGTTCTAGCTTCTCATCACTGCTACATTCCAGGGCTTCTCGCTTCTCAGGATCATCTCCATGGTTTTCAGCAGAGGCTGCTGGCTTCTCTTTTGACTGGTCCCCCGGAAGAACCTTCCGCTCGGGGCTACATTTATCCCCGTTGCTACAGAGGGGAACTGCTTCTGCTTTGCCGTCCTGGCACTCCAGAGCTGGGACTCCTTCGAAACTGTCAGTGGAGGCCTCGCCATTGAGACAGCTCCCTTTGAGGAAAGGCTCTTTCCCAGAAGTCTGTCCCGGGTTTACAGAACTGCTGCTGTGGACGAGGAGAGACTCGTTGGAACTTTCCTCTTCGGTGGATGCAAAGTTCTCTTTTGTGCCCGCTCCACTGTTAAGCCTCTGCCCCTGATCCATGTCCATGACGTCACATGATGACTCATCATTAGTCATAGACAAATCTCCAGCCTCCTCTCCGTTTTCTTCATGGCAGTCAGTGCTTACCTCAAATTCTCCGTTCTCTAGCAATTTCCTGCCCTCCGTATGATTCTCATAGTCTGCAAATTTGGTGTCCTCTTCATCTTTTTTTAAATTATTGACTTTCCTTTTCTTAATAATTCCTTTACCCCACTGTGATCGCCGCCTCGATTTTCTCCGAACTCGAACTATTTTACAAGGAAGAAAAAAATATATTTGTAGAACTTGGAATGCAATACTTGTTTTACAAATGCATATTAACTAAGACCCAAAAGAAAGTAAACCCATACCATTGTGACACACAAGCAAAAACTACCTGACACTCTCGCTGACTAATCCTCAGAACTACAAGTAGAATGGATATGAAGTCAGGGATGAACTCTGAGAAATAAAAATCTGTTAAACTTATTTCTTATTTACCACCCAGCATTAATTTTTTTTTCTATTACTCTGATTCTACTTAATAGCCGTTCCTAATTCCTAACATCCAGGAGGCCAGAATATGATATACACATCTAGGAACAGACCACACTTCCAGTCTGCCTGGAAGATTTGGGCGCCAGTTTTAGATTTCCACCAGGAAGGTGAGTGCTTTGCCATGAAAAGAAATAAAGCATGATCCAGTATGTCAATGCAGAATCGTTATATGTATCTCCAAAAAACACTCTCCACTGCCTCTACTTTAAAAGACAGAAGAAGAAGGAAAAAAAAAACAAAACCCACAGTTAATATGGTCATGGAGAGAAGCCCCATGAAGGTTATATGATCAATCCAGATTGCCAACTATTAGCCTCTTCTACCACAAACAGTTCTCCTAGCAGCACCAATTTCTTGCAAAGTTGTCTGAAAATATGTAGAAAAATTAAGCCTTCTGCTATCAAGGTGGCAACACACCACTAACAAAACACTGAAAATAAATGTTTGGTCAGTTATGTGAGGAGAAAGACCTACCAAAGTTGTAGGGGCTATACTTAGATGCTAGAAACTATCATGTGCTTTCTGAGTAGACAGCTGGTACTTCCAAGTAATGATGGACCCAGGAATCTTTCATTTCCCATATATGCAAGTCTATCTCACTGTCCCTTAAATAAGCAAAAAGTTAACTCTTATTTTGCAATTTGGGACAGATGCATTAAAAAATTAAATATAAACGTTATTAAATATAAACTAGTTAAACTAGACACCATACCTTCTGGTGTCTAACACCAAATTCTAAATATTAGTTGATTGAAAGCCATCTGGGTAAAAATAATTAATTCCCCCCCACACACACAGGCTATAAAAGGTTCCCCACCCCTGCTCTAAACTGTTAGGTCTTTATTATCTAACAAGTTACTCCTGACAATGTGGCCTCACTTATTCTCCAACCATGTAACCAAAAATACTAACGTTTCCCCTCTTCTTTCCTCATTAAGCCATGGAACTCCAGACCAAGAAGCTGACCTCTGCTCAATCAGGAGCCAGCCCAATTACCTGATATGTATGAGGTACACTGAGCAAAGGCCAGAAGCCCTATGGAAGGAAGTTCACTGCTAGCGCTTTCATCTCAGCAAAGAACAGAGAAAAGGTTCTCATTTGGCGAGAGGTCAAACTAGAGAAAATTTCCCCTTCCTTATATAATTACTTCTAACAGCTAACATGGCTTTAGTAAAATAAGAGAAATATAAGCTCTACAAGAATAGTGATTTTTGTTTTAGTCACTGCTAATCTCCATTGCCTCTGGCATGTGGTAGGCGTATGCATTTATACTACTTCCTTTTTCAGGGATGTTTTGTGCGAAAAGCGCATTTAGAGGCACAATCTTTAAAGTCAATTTTTACAGCATCTCTGAGCTTGTTTCCAAAACTAAGACCTTAGGAAAGCAACTCTGCCTTGGACATTTAGATTTATGACTTAGGTAAGTTAATGTCAAACAGACAAATGGTGAGTCACATATGCCATCTACTGGTGAAAGAAAACAAAACTCGATTGCAGCTTAAAGCAGCGGTCACCAACCAGTGGGTGGTCTGCGGACCACTGCTGGTCCAGGAGGTAAAAAAGGTTGGCAGCCACTGGCTTAAAGTAACATTTTAATATCCAAAGGAACTTAAAACTGTTTCAGTTAATAAATATTTGTATTAGGTGCAGAGAATGTAAAGGACTTTAAGTTTTAAATTTGAGTGTTGTGTTACATAATTCAGGTATAACTAGGCCAAATAACTTCAATGATATTCATGAAACTAAATGCACCACTAAGTCCTTCAAATTTTCTCATATATGAAAGCCTTATCTCAAAGAGGGCAAACTGAAAGATAGGTATGGCCCATTCATTCAAATGCAATGCCGCTCGTGAAAGAACATATTATGGCCAGCTTTACTGACAGATGGAGCAGTATTACACCTTTACACCAGAAAAACAGCATAGGTCGTCCACGGATGGCTAGCTTCAGGACTGTATTAGAAATATGTAACATCAGGACTGTATTAGAAATATGCTATGTTGATTAACATATCATTTAGAATTTTCTTTTTATCACCATGAATAAGAAAAAATGAAAACCTAAATATTGACTATTCCATCTCTAAAAATATATCACGAAACCAGTTTGGCTCAGTGGACAGAGCATCAGCCTGCAGACTGAAAGGTGTCGGATTCGATTCCGGTCAAGGGCACATACCTTGGTTGTGGGCACATCCCTGGTGGAGGATGTGCAGGAGGCAGCTGATCAAATGTTTCTCTTATCAATGTTTCTAGCTCTCTATCTCTCCCCCTTCTTTTCTATGAAAAAAATCAATAAAAATATATATATTTTTAAAAAAAGGTTGTACCAATTTTTCAAACTGAGCACAAACTTCTTGCTGTCAAATCAGCCACTCTCTTCAGCCAGTTTCCATTTTCCACCATAAAGACATCCTGCAGAGTATACAGCAAGGGGCTGAGGTTGCAGATAGATGTATAGAAAATCTATTGGCTCCACATTTCTATCCAAATACCAAAGTTTAGAACTAAAAATATTCAAACCTAGTCCAATTACAACAGTAAGTACTGAATGGGGACAGCAAAAAGCAAATAAGGCTAAAGAAATACACTTCTGATTTAGCCTCTTACCCCACAAGCTCTTCACCTCTGAAAAGAGAGACGATTAAAGAGCCGTGGGAAAACAGCAGCGCTCTGCTTTGTGTACCCAGTGCCTAAGAAATCCGAATCATTCTCAGTTGTTCCCACTACTGGATAACATGATCTCAAATACACGCACATTTATTTGCAGAGTTGTGCCAGGCATCCATTGGATTTCTTTGTTTGTGCCGAAATGCCTCTTCAACTCTAGTTTCTGTCTTCCGAGTTCCAGTACCATGAGGATTTATTTGTTCTGCTGTTACCGATAAGCCTGCAAGCAGAAGATAAGCAACACCTATTTAAATATTCCTAGCTACATAAACCAACAGGGTTTTAAAAAAAAATCATCTGAAATACAGAACCGAGTTTTAAAGTCATTAATTATACTTGGACAGTTTGTAATTTGTATGAAAATACTATCTTTTGTTTTAAGATGGGAAGGAAACTCAATATAAAATCATAAAAATAAAATAACTTGGCAGGCGATTCTTACTCTTAAAAAGTGACACATTTCACATTTTTATGACCTTGGGGCAATAAGATTATATAATGTCTAAAAGTTATGATTTCTGCCATCTTAGAATGTGTGTTTTGGGGCCAGTAAACCCCATTCACATGAACTGTTACCATCTGACATTAGCTGCCTATCACGCTGCAGTGATCTGCATAAGAGTAACCACTCCATCTCAATTTTCACTAGATTTCTTTGTACTATATGATCCTTAAATGTTGATGTTTGCCAGGGTTGTCTCTGGAATTCTTACTCTAATCAACACCTTCCACCACAACACCTTCCACCTTCAGCTTCTACTACCATTATATAACTGGAGGCCCGATGCACAAAATTCATGCACAGGTAGGGTCCCTAGGGCTTTCCTTCCCCAGCTGCCAGCTGCCAGCTGGGGCCTCCCTTCCCTGGCTGGTCCTTCCTTCATTCCACGACTCCCCCTAGTGGTCAACACACATCATAGCAAGTGATTGAACTCACAGTCTCCTAGTTGAACTTCCAAGGGGACATTTTGCACATTAGCCTTTTATATGTATAGATTCCCAAATCCACATCTTTAGCCCAAACATCTCTTGAGTCTTTTTAATTCGTATATCCAACTGCCTATTTGATATCTCCAACTGGATATTCTAAAGTCATGTCAAATATCTTTCCCAACAAAAACGCCTGTTCCTTCTTATATTTCTATTGGTGGTATTAGCACGTACTAAGTCATTAAACCAGTAATATGGCCAATTTTGACTCTTCCTGCCCTTCACCCCAGCAGCCAATCTCTCATATTAATTCTATCCTCATCTTCATTTCACTAATTAAAACTCTGAACTACTCCTAAAGCTTTTATCCACAACAGATTTAAGGTTCAATTTATATAACATAAAAACCACTCATTTTAAGCATACAATTAATTGATTTTCAGTAATATACAGTTCTGTTGTGGTAAATATACACATCATTTTGCAATCACCACAGCAACCCAATTTTAGCTAACTATCCCAGACAACCACTAATCCACATTTGGTCTCTATGGCTTGCTTTTTTTGAGCATTTCATATAAATGGAATCATACAATATGTGGTCTTTTCTGGCTGGACTGTTTCACTTAACGAATGTTTCTGTAGTTCACCTATGCTGTAGCACATATCAGCACTTTGTTCCTTTTTATGGCTGAGCAGTATGCCATTGTATGACACACCCTATTTTGCTTACCCATTCACCAGCTGACAGACATTTGGGTTGTTTCCAATTTTAGTTGCTATGAATGATGCTGCTATGAACATTCGTGTATAAATATTTATGTGGACATATGTTTTCATTGCTCTAGAGTAGATCCTAAGAGAATCACTGGGTCATATGGTAAATGTTATGTTTAACTTTTTAGAACTGCCAAACTGTTTTCTAAACTGGCTCCAACAGTTTCTTAACTGGTCTCTCATCTCCCTACCCTCCACACTGAGCCCTTGCTATTTCCTGCTGCCAAAGCAATTTACCAATTCGTTCCGCTGCTTAAAATACTTCAATGACTACTACTGACTAAGGCAATGGTTCTCAAACATTAGTGTATAAAGAAATCTCTTGAATAGTTGTTCAAGTGCTGAGCTATCAACCTTACTACTCCCTGAGAATTTAATTTACTAGGACCAAGCCAATGTAGGTAACAGACACACCATTTTGAAAAACACTGGTCTTAGGATAAAGTCCAAGCTTCTCAGCATGGCATGGATTCATTCAAGTATTTATAACCTGCTGCATATCAGACACAGCTCTGGGCACTGCAGGCGAGCTATAAGCATGACATTCCCAGCACTAAACAAGGAAGGGAGAGACAACAACAACAAAATGCCAAGTGCTAATGATGACTACGGCCTAATGAGATGAGGAGGCCAGGAAAGGCCCCTAAGGAAGTAGAAGAAAAGCTGCTTCATTATTTCAGTGCCCTGGACCCAGCCCACCTCTTGAGCTCTAATTCTCACAACTCTGTACATCTTCAGTAATACCAAACAGTTTGCAGTTCTTCTAATATACCACAGGATTTCACATCTCTGTGCCTTCATACAAGTTACTGTTTGCTGTGCTTAAAAATATCTCCTCCTCCTCTGTCACTGCCATCTTTCCCTACTCCACTGGAAAACATTCCTATTTCCTCCCCCAATCTCTGAACAAAATGCCTGGTCCCCTACCCAGAAGTCTCGGCCCTATGCTGTGAACACACTTCAACAAGTGCATACACCACAATGCACTTCATCTGTTTTACATTTCACTCTTTCTCCGACTGAAGTGTGAGTTCCTCAAAGACAGGATTTTTTTAGTGAATGAACAAACCACATTCGCTAATTCTTGTTTATATTGTTTATATTAACAAAATTGTCCATAAATTTCAGTAGGACAAAAAGTACCAGTATTGGGTATAAACTCATAAAAAATAAACCTTCTTCAGTATGAAAGCCATTAAGAACAAAAATTAATAATTAACAAAGATAAATTCCTGCAAAAGAAATTTTAATACAAAGCACTTTATTTCAGCAATTTGTGCTGTTGCGCTAACACTTTCACAGGAAGTTTTTAAATATCTGAGAATTTGCATGACACATATCAGTATCAGAAATTAAGTAAAAACTGTGCCTCAAAATACATTCCCTCCCCCCCCACAATATCAGGAAGCCTAAAGAAACAACATTCAGTAATAGTCAATAACTCATCTTTAGCAGAAAGTTCATTTATATAGCTTACCTCTTTTTATTCTTGCTTCCTTAATTTCTTCACAGAGTTTATTAAATTCTGGATCCAGTTCAGCTGCAATGATGGCATGTGCAGTGTCCTTCAGGGTACAAGCCCTGTGTCTAATTATTTTATCTGTTGAAACAGTTGGTATACATTTATTACATGTACAAATGAAATAACATTAAATAAGGGTATTCTAAAAAGAGAAGAAATACGAACATTTAAATAACAGTGTAAAAAGCATTTCCAGGTGATAAGTTTATTTAAATAATAAACTTATTTAAATAAAATTAGATATAAACAAAATAAGCTACTCAATCAAGTTGACAATTCTCTGAAAACTATACTTTTAGAATTTCAAAGTAATAAGTCTGTTTAACAACTCATTGCCTCAAAGATAAAAGGCTACATTTTACATATTTTGATTTTTAAATGTATGATTTTCAGTAAACATTTTTAAAAGATTTTAGGGTATTCACCATATGCCCAACACCAGCACTCCCTTATCAGGAGTGGGGAACATCTGACCTGCAGGCCATGTAAGACCTGCAAAATCACTTGGTCTGGCCCTGCTGAGGCATTCAGGTAAGTTAATCAAATGTTTGAGCAAATATAGCAGGCTAATTTTTTAACTCATAATTTTGTATTGCCCAAGAATGTTGTTGTAAATAGCCAAATGGCCTTTGGCAGAAAAATCATTTCCCACCCCTGCTATAGATGAATACTGAAAATTCAGATATTCTTAAATAATTTTCTTCATAAGTGAAAACTGGTCAAAACTGTGCTGGAGAATATAACAACCCTAAGTAAGGGTGACCTTTAAAAACTGTGACAGAAATAGACAAATACAGCAAGACACTCTAAGCTGAAGAATGTAAGATGGTATAAAAATTGTAGGTGGATCCAGGAGAGAAGTACATACTTCCTTGTAGGTAAGCTATACCTAAAACTAAAAGAAGGTTCTCAGTTTTACACTAATCTGGAAATCCTCATTCATAAGCAAAACAATGTAAACAGTGCCACCTAGAGCTTGTAGCTCTCTGTGATATAAAAAGGCAAGTAAGAATAGCAAAGACACTTATCTTGTAACAGTATCAAAACCTAGAACCCAAAATCTCAAAATAACATCTGCCTTTTCATCTCTATTATTATATTTTGAGAAGACTACAAGATTAGGGCTAAAATTCCAGCAAAATTAGCTAAATAATGATATGTGCTTGAGGGTTAGAGAAGGGATGCCATAAAAACAAAGAATGAAAAATAGTTAAAGAACATATATCATGTCTACTAGTATAACATAACTAGAGGCCTGGTGCACAAAATTTGTACACTAGGGAGGGGGGTGTCCCTCAGCCCAGCCTGCATCCCCTCCAATCTGGGATCCCTCGGGAGATGTCCCACTCACAATCAGGGACTGCTGGTTCCCAACCGCTCACCCTGCCTACCAGCCTGATTACCTCCTAATCATTCCCCTGCCAGCCCCATTGTCCCCAACTGCCCTCCCCTGCTGGCCCAGTAACTCCCAACTGCCCTCCCTATAGGCCTGGTCACCCCCAACTGCCTTCCCCTGCTGGCCTGATCACTCAAAACTACCCTCCCCTGCCTGCCATCTTGTAGCAGCCATCTTTGACCATGGAGGTGGCCATCTTGTGCAAGGGTCTGAGGGTCAATTACATTTTACCCCATTATTACACAGGATAATTATGGCCTAATATTTCATTTGTAGGTTCTGGTCACACTTAGAACCTAGAAATTAAAATTCTCTGGCCAAAACATTTCATTTCTGTCCACATCATCCTCAAGGGAGAGAATCTGGGTGAACACTTAGGTAACATAGATAGCTTTCAAAAGGTTGGCTTTTGTCTTCTATGTATATGCTTGTTGTTTTCCCAAATGGCTAACTATTCAGCAAAACAGAACACCGTAAGCTTGCAAATACTCTTGGGAGCTTGTAAAAGTAATACAACATTCATGTAATTTCCACTTGCTATACAACAGACACTGAGGTTGTTTTTCTAATACATAACAAGTGATTCTATTGCTATAGGGCGGGGGGGAGCCTCTTGACTATAGATATGAAATAATCTGAACAGAATCAAATCATGCTTTTTGAATTTTTGCATCTAAAATAGTGAAGGAGTTAAGTTACAAGTGTACCATATCAACTCTGAGAGAGCCATATTTTTTCATTATACATCTGCATTCTGTAGTAAAAGGTTATGCACCAGAAACCATTGCTTCTTTCTTAAAAAGAATATTATTTCAATGTGGTTATAATTAAGTTACACAAGGGAAAATATTTGGATTGCTCTTCTCAACTGGCTTTCTGTAACCACTCAAATTCATTTTTCACTCTCAATCTCAAATTTTGTTCCAAAATAAAAATGAATTTTAAATGTGGTTCAAGGAATGAAATGAGAATAAAGTATAAAGGGTCACTCTAATGCAAATATGCAATATCCACTAAGAAAACAATTTATAAAAATTAAAGTCCAATTTAAACAACAATGATGATAATGAGGATAAAAATATGAACCAACTTTATGGAACACTTACCACATCCCAGGCACTATGCTAAGAACTTAGCATATTTAGGCTGAACCATATAAAAATGGTGATTTCATAAAGTACTATAATTATCCCTATTTTGCAGATAAGAAACAATTTCTTGGTTTTCGGAGTCGTTCCAAGATGGCTGACAGGTAAACACCTAGCCGCAGCCGCACACAACAATTTCAATAAAATACAACTAAAATATAAAATGGACATTACCCAGAACTACAGGAAAGTCGACTGACTGGAAATTCTACAATGAGAAGCAAGGAGAAAACCAGAAGGAAGCGCGGAGGAGCTGTAAAAGCCCAAGGTATGGAGACACGCGGCGCGCGGAGAGGACGGAGCCGGAGAGGAAGGAGGCCAAGTGCCTGGCTGGCATTCCCAAGCGGGAAGGAGATAAAACTCCGACTGTGCTGGGCCCCAGTTCTGACTGCTCTGAACCCCAGTTCTAGGCCAGACCCCGGGGACCCAGGCTCACATAGAGGGAGCTGGGCTGCGAGGCGCAACCCCGGGGAGCGGCGAAAGGAGGTCCCGGAGGCGCCCACATTGTGCGCAGAGAAGGGACGGTCGGCTGTGCCGCGGGATTGCCCTGGCAGGAAGGAGACAGGGGCTCCAGACTGCTCTGAACGCCACTTCCAACTCCACTTCCAACTGAACTGAACCCCAATACCGGGCTCATTGGGGGAGAGCATAGACTGTTTGGCAGCAGGCGAAAATCGAGGGCACCTTTCTCTCAGAGGCGCTTGCTACTAGTACTGAAGGACCCGCATAGGGTGGAGCTGATGAAAGCCAAAGCTGCAGGCTCAACCCTGAAACCCCACCCCATCCAAGCAGAACACGGAGACTTTTAAGGCTACCAACTCAGGAAAGCTGCGAAAATGCCGAGACGAAATAGATCACAAACGAAAGAAATGGAGGACAAAAAGTGACTGGATATAGAGAGTTCAAATCTACGCTTATAAGGTTTTTCAAGAATTTCCTAGAAAAGATGGATAAGACCTATGAGGATATGAAAAGGGATCAACTAGAATTAATAAGGAATCAACAAGAAATGATAAGGGATAAACAAGAAATGATAAGGGATCAATAAGAAATAAAGAATACATTGACTGAAATAAAAAATATTATACAGAGTCCTAAAAACAGAATGGAAGATCGCAAGAATCAAGTCAAAGAGTTGGAACATAAAGAACCAGAAGACACTCCTCCGCAGAAGCTAGAAGGCAAGAGAATCCAAAAATTGAAGATAATGTAAGAAACCTCTGGGACAACTTCAAGCGAACCAACATCAGAATTATGGGGGTCCCAGAAGATGAGAAGAGAGCAAGATATCGAAAACATACTGAAAGAAATAGTGACAGAAAACTTCCCCCACCTGGTGAAAGAATTAGTGACAAGTCCAGGAAGCGCACAGAACTCCAAACAAAAGTAATCCAAAGAGGACCACACCAAGACAAATCATAATTAAAATTCCAAGAGCAAAAGACAAAGAGAGAATATTAAAAGAAGCAAGAGCAAAGAAGGTAGCTACCTATAAAGGAGCACCTATATGATTGTCAGCTGACTTCTCAACAGAAACCATGCAGGCCAGAAGGAATGGCAAGAAATATTCAAGGTGATGAATAGTAAGAACCTACAGCCAAAGATAATCTATCCAGCAAAGCTATCACTCAGAAGCGAAGGTCAGATAAAGAGCTTCACTAATAAAAAAAGGCTAAAGGAGTTCATCAACATCAAACCAGAATTATATGAATTGCTGAAGGGGGTTCTTTCAGAAGAGAAAGTAAATAAAGATAAAAATTATGAACAACAAATACATAACTATCAACAAGTGAATCTAAAAACCAAGGGAATTTACGGAGTGGCCGGGCCCAGAGCAGCCGGGATGGGAGCAGCCAGACCCAGAACAGCAGTAGCCAAGCCCAGAGCATCCAGGTCGGGAGTGGCCAGGCTCGGAGCGGCCGGGCCCGGGGCAGCCGGGCCCAGAGCAGTCAGGTCAGGTGCGGCCAGGCCCGGAGCAGCGGCTGCCAGGCTGGGAGCGGCCAGGCCCGGGGGAGCAGGCGGGGCTGGTGCGGCCAGGCCCGGAGCAGCGGCTGCCAGGCTGGGAGCGGCCAGGCCCGGGGGAGCAGGCGGGTCGGGTGCGGCCAGGCCCGGAGCAGCGGCTGCCAGGCTGGGAGCGGCCAGGCCCGGGGGAGCAGGCGGGTCGGGTGCGGCCAGGCCCGGAGCAGCGGCTGCCAGGCTGGGAGCGGCCAGGCCCGGGGGAGCAGGCGGGTCGGGTGCGGCCAGGCCCGGAGCAGCGGCTGCCAGGCTGGGAGCGGCCAGGCCCGGGGGAGCAGGCGGGGCTGGTGCGGCCAGGCCCGGAGCAGCGGCTGCCAGGCTGGGAGCGGCCAGGCCCGGGGGAGCAGGCGGGTCGGGTGCGGCCAGGCCCGGAGCAGCGGCTGCCAGGCTGGGAGCGGCCAGGCCCGGGGGAGCAGGCGGGGCTGGTGCGGCCAGGCCCGGAGCAGCGGCTGCCAGGCTGGGAGCGGCCAGGCCCGGGGGATCATGCGGGTCGGGTGCGGCCAGGCCCGGAGCAGCGGCTGCCAGGCTGGGAGCGGCCAGGCCCGGGGGAGCAGGCGGGGCTGGTGCGGCCAGGCCCGGAGCAGCGGCTGCCAGGCTGGGAGCGGCCAGGCCCGGGGGAGCAGGCGGGGCTGGTGCGGCCAGGCCCGGAGCAGCGGCTGCCAGGCTGGGAGCGGCCAGGCCCGGGGGAGCAGGCGGGGCTGGTGCGGCCAGGCCCGGAGCAGCGGCTGCCAGGCTGGGAGCGGCCAGGCCCGGGGGAGCAGGCGGGGCTGGTGCGGCCAGGCCCGGAGCAGCGGCTGCCAGGCTGGGAGCGGCCAGGCCCGGGGGAGCAGGCGGGTCGGGTGCGGCCAGGCCCGGAGCAGCGGCTGCCAGGCTGGGAGCGGCCAGGCCCGGGGGAGCAGGCGGGTCGGGTGCGGCCAGGCCCGGAGCAGCGGCTGCCAGGCTGGGAGCGGCCAGGCCCGGGGGAGCAGGCGGGTCGGGTGCGGCCAGGCCCGGAGCAGCGGCTGCCAGGCTGGGAGCGGCCAGGCCCGGGGGAGCAGGCGGGGCTGGTGCGGCCAGGCCCGGAGCAGCGGCTGCCAGGCTGGGAGCGGCCAGGCCCGGGGGAGCAGGCGGGGCTGGTGCGGCCAGGCCCGGAGCAGCGGCTGCCAGGCTGGGAGCGGCCAGGCCCGGGGGAGCAGGCGGGGCTGGTACGGCCAGGCCCGGAGCAGCGGCTGCCAGGCTGGGAGCGGCCAGGCCCGGGGGAGCAGGCGGGTCGGGTGCGGCCAGGCCCGGAGCAGCGGCTGCCAGGCTGGGAGCGGCCAGGCCCGGGGGAGCAGGCGGGTCGGGTGCGGCCAGGCCCGGAGCAGCGGCTGCCAGGCTGGGAGCGGCCAGGCCCGGAGCAGCAGCAGCTAAGTCCAGAGCAACTAGGTCGGGAGCGGCAGTGACCAGACCCGGAGCAACTGGTTGTGAAACGAACCAGAGCAACAGAGGCCAGGCCCTGAGCAGCCAGGCCCAGAACAGCTCGCTCCCTGCCTGCCCCTGCCCCACGGCTGCTTCTCAGACATGGCTGGAAACTTTCGTGGGAACTTGAGGGTCTGCTGAATCAAGTGATGAAGGCTTAGATCTGGATGTGTTGAGTTAGTTTAGGACTGGGGTGTTGATCTGTGAGTGCCTTGGGTGGGGCCTGGATGAGGCTGGTTGACCTAGTGGGAAATGTCTTTTGTGTGAAGTGTATCATTGGGCATGTGGAGGTATTATTGATATGAGAAAATGCTAAGTAACTGATTTACTATCTGAAAAGGGATTTACTATTGGGGAAATAGAGGGAAGAAGAGACTGAACATAAACTGCACCTATGGATGAGGACAATGGGGGATGGGGGCGGGACGGAGGGTGGGGTGGGAACCTGGTGGAGGGGGGAAGAAATGAGGAACCTTTGTAATAATATGAACAATAAAGATTGATTTAAAAAAAATAAATAAATAAAATAAAATAAAATAAAAACCAAGGGAATTTAAAAAAAATCTGATGAACAATATCAACTGTTGAATATAATAGAATCAGAGGTATGGAAGGGGAGTGAACTGATGATTCTTGGGGAAAAGGGGAGAGGGGGATGTGGGAAGAGACTGAACATAAACTGTGCACCTATGGATGAGGACAATGGGGAATGGGGAAAGGGCAGAGGGTGGGGTGGGAACCTGGTAGAGGAGAACAATAGGGCGGGGGGTGGGGGGGGGGAACATTTGTAATAATATGAACAATAAAATTTTATTAAAAAAAGAACTCCCACAAAAAAAAAAGAAAAGAAACAATTTCTTAACTTGATCAAGTTAAAGAGCTAGGCAATAGATCTGGGATTAAAGCCTACAGCACAAGCTCTCATTACCTGCTACACAGTTTCAGCAACCTTTGTGTCTTCAAAAACTGACAGGCTAATGGTGTAGGCACTCCAGTGCTCTCACATAATGCTCAAGGCAACCAACCGTACAGCAATTGTGAAGGTTGTACCCTCACCAAGGACCCAGCAAGGGAATCAAGTGAGGCTGACATCAGCCCATTCTTCACTACCCAAACTGTAGCCTGTTGCAGATGCCATCTACACTAAAGAAAATTGCTATTTTGTCTAATAGTTGCCGTGATATTGCTTGTAGAAGTGAGAAATTATGAGAAAAAATTTAAGATTCCAGATTAAATGACCTACAAAAGATACATCTTTTGATTTTAAAATTTCACTTTAAGAAATTTATTCTAAGAAAATAATTAGGGATGTGTACAAAATTATAATATAAAGATATCTATCAATCTTATAATGACAGAAAAAATCTAAAAGAATCTAGTATTTCCAACAATAGGGTATTAGCTATTATAGAAGGTCTGTATGATTTAAATAATGCAGTAAAAATATATAAAATTCATAAACTTTTCACCAAATATTATATGACTAAGTTTGTAAAAATAATATTTTCATTTTAGTAAAAATATGCATGCATGCATGCATGCATTCCATATATAATGAGTGTGAAAGAGAGAGTGAGGGAGAGGGAGGCAGGGAAGGGGAGAGATAACTTTAATTTTCTTGCTTTTATCTTCATAAATTTTTATGTGAAATATTTAATTGTAAGTAAAAAAGAAACTAAACAAACAGTAGAAAGCTTAAGAACGATTAGATACCAGGTGCAGCTATGTAAAATTTTATTCTGCCTCTTAGAATTAGAATATGTGCTTTATTATGGTCTAAATTTCGCCCCCCCACCCCCCAAAGAAAAAACCAAAAACAATGTCATGTGGAAATGAGAAATCCAGGTCATTCTAACATGTGGCCCAAGTTGAGAACCACTGCCCTTAAGTACAAACAGAGAGCAAAACTGTATAAAGATATCTAAATATCTTTAGATAACTGAAACAAAAATGAATTTTTAAAAAATAGAAAGCATCCAACGTATATCATCTGTTAAAGAAACAGAATTCTCACTAGAGTGAAAAAAAAAGAATATTGGCCCTTGTCAGCTGGGAGCTGGCCTGGCGCTAACAGCTAGGCCTTGGTCTACTCAAGTCAAACATAAACAAATGTAACCAATATCAAGAAAGGCTACTCGGTGACCACGATGGACCATCCCATAATGATGTCTAAACAAAGAGGCCACCCTTTAGTTTGCAGATTTATATATAATGTAAAGTTCTTAAACACATACAGGGTAATATCCATCTACACTGGCTTATTTCTGTTTGATTAATAATGAAATATAGTCAACAAACTGCTAATATTATTTATTTCTAATGGAGGAATTTTATAGGTTTGGTAAAAAGATTTTAATTTTTTCTAAAAACCATCTCTTAACTCTAGCTCTTTACTCAAAAGCAAGTAGTATTTTGGCAGTGTAAAGTATAGTATCTTAAGCCCTCAAAAATAAAAATTAAAAAAAATAAACTAAACCCTATTCCCTGAAGAGCCTATCTATGTTAGTGTGAACACAGAGGCACATAGGCTATACTCTAGATCAGGAAATGGACTTGGTTTTACCTGTCCAAGTGGGTGATGTTCTGTGTTTTAGGCCAGACAATTTTTGGTAGATTTTATATAGCCCATCGTTTTCAGTAATTCTTGGATACAATTATGTTGTATCCAAACCTTATAGTTTGGATACAACATAATTTATGCTTATTTTTGTCCTAATCACACTTTTTTGTGATTAGGACAAAAGCATATTGCTCTAATCACAAAAATAACCCCCCCAAAAAATCATATCCTGAATAGTATGAATGACTGCTGCTTCTTTACCTATCACAGTGTTAGCCTTGCTCCATTCTTCTTGCCTACGGGTTCTTAAAATATCGAATCACAAAATTATCCCCACTTCCTAGAAGCGTTCAATCCACCGCAAAGTCCTTCTTTAATTCCTCCCCTAAGTCACTAACCAAGTGGCAAATCCTACAAGGTTCACCATGACAAAATTTCCCTTTGACATTCATCTTGTATAACTAAGATATGTTCCTGGCAGTCTTCCCTGGAGGGCACTGAGAGAGTTGGGATTGACTACTGACTTGAGTACAGGGTTGGATTTGGAGTAAAATAATAAAATTACATAAAATATCTACAATCTATAGAACAGATAATGTCTACCTAAAGAAGTCTTTTGATAGACTATGTAAACATATCGTATAATGAGTTCCCACAAATTCAAATTCTCAGTGTTTATCAGCCCTTGTGATGTTGACTAAATAATACATTTTTTATGAAATTCTCAGTTTTCCATTTTATCTAAACAAAACAGAAATCTAAGTATAGAAAATGATGAAACTAAACCTAAACATAATACATAGGATAATAAAATCATCTAAATTAGTAAGTACATTTAATTCAATAAGTTAATAATTTAAGTATATTAATTCCTCACCAAAAGGAACTAAATACAATAATGACATCAAAATGAACTAATCTGTATAAAACATTAGTATTTAAACTTTAAACTGCCTTCTCTATCACCAAAGTGAACCCAGCCCAAAGTGTCCTTACCTCCTGGGTCCTTATCTGGATTGTATTCTAAAGCATTACTACAGATGAGGTCAATATCTTTCAGGAAATCTTTTGAAGTCAGGTAATTATGCTTATCAATTTTAGTTATTATTGTTGATAAATCCATTGGTTCCTTGATTACTTCAAGATAATCTGAAACCTAAAACAAATATAATATTTTAATAAAAATCACTTATGGTATGTCATATATCTACTCATAAAAACACAAAAGAAAATCAAGTAATTATTTAAAAATTAAATCTACATATCTAAGAAATAATTAGATAAGGATAAAAGTATAGAGCACTTTATGTTTCTAAAGTTACTATGTCATACTTTCCATGAAAGCTTCAGTTTCAAGTCATATCTAAATCAACTCTGAAATGTTCTCATCTTGAACTATGAAACCAATTGTGTCAGCTTTTTTTTAATCCTTTGGCCATTCCTGAGAAGAGAATGTACAAGTAAAAGCACTGATAAAGCATTGGTATATGTTACCTCAAGAAAAAAATTTTAAAGGAAAATAAAAAGAAATAATTTGTTGTTTTTTAAACAAAACAAAAAAATTCTTTCTGAAGGGTGAGTCGTTTCATGGAAAGTGTTTTCTGCTCCTTTGGAGTCATTACCAACACTTTGACTTTATTATATAACAACAAAAAAGCAATGTTTTCATGACTAGTAAAAGATTTGCTGCACTTGTCTCTAAATATAAATATATCTACAAGTAAAAACACACATTTTGCTCTATGTGCCCAATAAATTATATGTTTTATATCTCTTGACCAATAAGAAAGTTCTACCAACTTACAAATCTATTGCCTTCCCCAATCTCAAATCAAGTAATTAGGTCTATTACAAAGCAGTCTTGCAAATGGCTAATTAGTCCAGGACCACATTCTGGAACAGAGTGATTTCTACTCTCAGAAACTATAAGCAAGTTTCCTTCATTGCAGATGTCATTGATGCCTTGATTTAAAAAAAACATATATATGCACATATATATATATGCATATATATCCATATATATACACATACACATGATTTATAAATATTTTTTTAAATTTTAGGTAGGTGTGTGTGCATGTTTTAATTTATTTTTCACCCTCAATGAGGTAAATGCCTTCTAGGGGAGGTAATAAAGCTATGCTGAACAAGCAATAGTTCAGAAGATATTAATTGGGTTCCTGGCATTGGCACTTGGCATACCTTTCTTTTGTGCATGATAGAAATGTTTTGTAAACTATAAAGCACTATATAAATTCATATTACTACCTATGCTTATATTTTTTCCTATGCTTAATTTTAAATTCAACATTCATTTTCTAAACTCTTGTGTGTTCTACCATTTGCTTTGAAAGTTTTAGATATCTCACATTCATTATTTGAATAGAAATTTATGTTTTTATGTCTAAAAGCTATCTTGGTTCCCCTCTCTATTGTTCCAAGAGATCCCTAGTTTTTCAGCTTTAAAAGCAGACAAAGAACCAGTAGTAGAATGAAAGTGAGAAGGAAAAACATAAAAGAAAATATAGCACTTAAATAAAAGTTTCATCTGACTAGCATTTGCTATCCCCTTTTCATTGCCAAACCATCATTTATAAACTTTATTCTAGCATAGATGGCTTTTGAAATCTGATAATCTCTTCTGGTTAGGAAGAAAAAGTTTTCCCTGGCAAAGGCAAAATTGTTTACTTCTAGCATGGTAAGCTTACTTGGGGCAATCCCTTATCAATTGTCAGGGAAAAAAATTAAGCGTCAGAGTCCCATATCCAATTTGAAATAAAAATACTTAAAACAACATTAAAGTGGACTGATAGATTTAAAATTATCTGAAAACACTAGAAGGAAAAAAAAAAACTCCACAAATATAAAACGGTATGCATTAATTACAAAAGCAAGTCTAGCAAGTCCTGTCATTCCAGTGGGAAAAGATTAAAATGGTAGCTGTAAGGTTATATAAAGAATGTGGGCTTTAAAGTTTTTTAAAACTTTGAGTCTTGCCTATCACTTGCCAAAGTGCCACAGTTTCCTCATTTGCAATATAAGAACCTTTGCAAGGCTGCAGAAAGGATTAAATAGATAAAACTATGTATTGTAGATAAATTCTATACTGTATAATAAAAGGCTAATTGCAAATAGACCAAATGGCAGAATGACCAGTCGCTATGATACTCACTGACCACCAGGGGGCAGACACTCAATGCAGGAGCTGCACCCTGGTGGTCAGTGTGCTCCCACAGGGGAATGCTGCTTAGCCAGAAGCCAGGCTCACAGCTGGCGAGCGTAACGGCAGTGCCAAGGATGTCCGACTGATGGCTTAGGTCTGTTCCTCCTGGGAAAGAGGACCTAAGCCACCAGTCAGGCATCCCCTGCAGGCTCCCCAAACTGCATGAGAGCACAAGCAGAGCTGAGGAACCCTCCCCTCTACCCCAGTGCGAATTTCACACACCAGGCTTTTAGTATGTAAATAAAATTATAGATAGTCCCTTTTATTTGGGGGGGGGGGGAAGAATAGGTATTTTCAGACTTGCCAGGAATGGAGGAGTGCAAACATAGTTCATTTTCACAGTTATAGATGAGGTAATGCTTCCAAATGAATCTGATCAGATTTCATAATGAGTATGCAACATTAAACTTTGAATTATTTCATAATTCAAATTTTTAAAAGAGATGAAAAAATTAAAACACCAAAACTGTTCAAACATGGAGTCTGAACTATAAGAAGAAGGCCAGTAAAGATCACATTGTATTGATCCATACACTATATTATCCCAGGATAAAAAAAAATTAAAATTAAAAAACATTAATCTAAATATTTTAGTTGATTCCAAATGGAAAATTTCTTTTCTCATCATCACAAACCATGCTCCCACAAGAACACAAAACAATGCACATAGAAAGTGAGAAATTTTCCATCAGGAGCAGAAAAAATCCTTAGAAAAATAATTTTAGCTGCACAGGATATGCTTAACTTCAAGTAGCATGTTAGTCACAGGCATTTCTAAAACATTAAAGACACATTTCAGGTTTCTCAGCTACATCTTTCAATAAAGTATACATAATTTGAGAAATGCCCATATCAACTGGTATTATTTGGTTAATATCAATTATGTTTGTAGAATTTATCCTGGAATAAAAATAGTCTAGTATGGACATTTCACTGAAGTAACTTTCAATCCTCTTCTTAAATTGAAAAATAAGAGATCACAAATATCAATGCTAATTAAGAGGACATATACAAATTGGACAATAATTTCATCCAAAAGTCACCAAATATTTGCTGATGACATTGGTAGTTATCACATGGATTAAAAATTTACAGGCTAGGGGTAATTTATTCATCCATGCCTTTGCTTTTTTTCCTTCCAAAAAAAGATGTCAATTTTTTTTTTTTTCTTTTAGCCAGTTCAACTTCACTGTTTGCACACTACTGAAACAAGACCTCTTCAATATCCACCGGTTTGCTGAAGATGTTAAAGCGTTTATCTGTGGCCAGCCTCTTGGTTACATCCCTGAGAAACAACCGCAACTCTCTTAAAGTATTTTCCTCCTGGTCCTCCATCCGAATTTTTTCTGATTCTGATAATTGACGAGGTGGAGAAGGTAGTGCAAGAGGAAGCACTTCCATAGCACAAAGACCTAAAGAAAATTAAAGAAAATGTTGATTCCTATATGGCAAGGCCAGTACCTCAATTACTTTATTGGCATTCTCTCACAATGTTCTTTTAAGAAAAGGAGAATTCCAAACATAGGTGAGCCACACAAATCCAACATGTAAAAATCTGAATGGAAACCAAATATGTTAAGGAATAGTTTTACTTTACAAAATAACTCACAACAGGACTCCTTTAAAGGACAAATGATATGGTTTTAAAGAATTTGATTTTGAAACATTATTTATATACAACTTATGAAAGGTATTTCAAACCAACATCAGTTAAGTATTGTATACTGATTTGCTTGTTTAAAACCTGCTTATCAAAATGGGGTTGTCTTATAGGCATGAAAGTCAAATTAGCAAGTAACAATTAATTGATCCTTCCTATTCCCAAAGAATTCTGAGTTTAGTCTTCTATCTTCATATTCTTAGTATGGATATAGTAGGGATATAAATGGCACTTGCTGGGAGCAAAATAAAAATAGAAACTGAACTGAGAATTCTCAGAAGGAAAGAGGGTGGGAAGAGATTAAACAAAGATCTTATTGTATGTTTATGTGCATTACCAATGGAAAAAACAATAGGTGATAAAGGCCTGAGGCAGGGTGGGAACCAGGGGGGGGGGGGGTATGGTATGGTGGGAAAATGAGGGACATCTATAATATTATAATCTCAACAATAAAGATTTTTTAAAAAGAACAAGGGAAAACAGGCTTAGATTTTTTTTAAACTAATAGGATTATTATTTTCCAAGAGAGTGAAAGATTGAGTAAGAATTCTTATCTTTTACGCATAGTATGGACATTTCACTGAAGTAACTTGAAGTTGATTTTTTTACAGAGAGGAAGGGAGAGAGATAGAGAGTTAGAAACATCGATGAGAGAGAAATATCAATCAGCTGCCTCCCGCATAACCCCCACTGGGGATGTGCCCACAACCAAGGTACATGCTCTTGACCGGAATCAAACCTAGGACCCCTCAGTTCGCAGGACGAAACTCTATCCACTGAGCCAAACCAATTTCAGCATCTTTTACGCATCTTTAAAATTAGGAAAAGAAACTCATTTGAAATACTTGGGATGCAGTCCTTATTTAAATCAGGGGACTGAAATCTGAAAAATTTTGAGGCCTCCCTTAATGCTATGAGCCCAAATCTAAGAAAACTCTAATCCTCAAAACAAAACCATGATAGATTTCCAAATGCCTAGATAGAATAAGATATCTATAATAATCAAAGCATAATGTGCTGTTTAGACCGGATGTCCTTCCAGACGAGGCTGAGGCTTCAAGGGAAGCCCAGTCCTGGGTGCCTGCTGGTGGCCAGAGGGAAGCCTGGGTCCCAGGAGCCAGAGGGAAGCCGGTTCCTGCAGCTGGGGGAAGGAAGGCCTGCTCCTGCACAAATTTTGTGCTTCAGGCCTCTAGTCTAATAGGTGCTCAATAAATATTTGAAAATTTAATCAATAAATAAAATAAACCAGAAAAGGCAAATGTTCTCATCAGCTCCTGGCCCTCAAAGTAATCAACACAGCACCTGGTGTTTCACAGACAGACAATTTGAGTTCTCAGTACTTAAAGTGACTAAAACAGAACAGAACCAAAGATTTCTTTTTCTTTGACTTTTTGAGCCTCAGAATGTGAAATCTACCAAGAGCATCTGGGTTGAAGTGATGAGAACCTTTAGTAGCCGTCATCTAATAGTAAAGCTTTAACAATGAGACTGTACTTCCCAATCTCAAATCAGGTGAACACAATGTCACCTCTACATAAGTCTATCTAAAGATAAAAAGAACCTGAAAACTATCTTCACTTCGACAAAGACATGGATTTTAAAATGATTCCAAGAAAGGCATCTCTTAACCCACTCCCCACGCCCCTTTTCCTAAAAGCTTTAGGCACTTTACCAGTGTGTTTCCTTCGTGGTGGAGCCACTGATGCCTGATTAAGAATCAATTCTTGGAAAAATTTTCTTCTGTCTTCTTCAGTAGGCCTTTGAATATACAAAACCTCTTCATACTGTATTCTAAAGATATATTTAACCTATAAACAAACACACACAAAATATTAAATATGTAGAGAATCAAAACCTTACCTATTATATCCAATTACAATTTTTTCCATTTCCAGTACCATTGCAATCTTCATTTAAGATTCATATGGGGTTAGAATTAACCTAGTCCCAGGCTATACTATTGAAAGTTCAATCTCATGGACTAAACAAGAATGGAAGAATGATTTAGTTGCCCAAGTCATTAATAAATTATGGCTGGAAGAGTCAGAGATAATAGTAAAAAGGATAGTTGAATGTAACAGTCAGATGGCAACAATCTCAGAGGGCTTTTTGCATAGGAGCTGCAAAGTAATTACCTAGCGCCTACAACAGACAGCTGCCAAGTTGCCAACACTGCCTGCTCTTCCGCTATTTCTCTGCATTTCCTCTTCTCTGGCTTCCCTTTCTGGACTCTTTCCTAACCAAGTCTGTTCCACTGTACTGTCTAGAATCCTGGTATCACTGCAGATGAACTTTTCACGGAATGCTCCACAATGACACCATCTTTCATGCAAAACTCACAAGCAAAATTAAGTCAGTTTCTTTCAGCTGGATTACCTAGGCCTCTCCTGTGTCCGTCTGCTCTATAAAGGCTTTAACCCCAACTATCCCCCTTGCAAGGCATGCTTTTAAAATCCTCTTTATGTCATACACATTTGACTGCACACTTCATTTATATGTTTTTCTAGAAGGTCTATTTCTACTTCTAGACACCAAACTCCCGAAGAACAGCCCATTTCTTACTCGTCTGTTTTCTATACCTCACCACAGGGCCTGGCACACAGCAGTGCACAAGCATGTACTCAGTGAGTAAAGCTCGTTCTTCTGTTCCCCAGCCCACATCAAACTGGAAAGTGTAATTGAAAAGAGAACCAGTCACTAATATGAGAGTGTACCAACCATGATAATATGGAAATACTGTATTAAAATTCAAGACATCAGATTTTAGCCCAAACGTAGCCACATATTTGTGGTAAATGTTAGACAATCCACTCAATTTGTTACATCTAACCACTTACTGAAGACTATGAACTTCATAAATATTATTTTAATCTATATAACAATGAGGTATGAAGGCATCCCATTTAAAAGATGAAACTTGGGCGTGTAAAGATTTAAGTAATTAGGTTAAGGTCCCAGCATGAATAGAGAACATTAGATTACATAATCTATAAAGGACTTTCCTAGCTCTAAAATTCTAAGAGAGAGAAGAAACAATGAAAAGTAAACACTAGAATTCAAAATCTGAATGGGATTTATTTACCTCAACCCAAAGCCAAATCCTTTAAGAGTTTATAAAATTTCACCTTGTATCCTTCCAGTATTTCTTAGACTACCGTCCTGTGCAATTCCCTCCAACCCTTCGGTCTATGCTTTGCTGGCCCTTCTTCAGAAATTCTGGTGTGCATATTTACCCCAGAATACCATTATGTGCCAGATACTGCAGTTATAAACTTGAAGAAAATAGGCTTACTTCCTGCTATCAAGATCTTAAAGAGTCTCATAAGAAAGTATTCTGATACCATAAAGGTAGAGACATAGAGGAGACCCTGTAAGAGTGAAGAGGCATTAGACAAAACATAGCCAAAATAGCTAACATTAATTCTGTCTTGACAAAATAACACAGAATTAGAAGTACCAGAATTTTGTTCAAAGATAGCAAGACATTTATTTTCAGTTTTAAATATTCTCCCTTCTCAACATTTTTCAACACTGTGTTAAACTTTGCGAATATAAAACATTCTAAAAGTAAATCTACAATAATCCTGTGGTATTCCTGCCAGGTTATTACAACCATCTCAGAATCCATCATCTTGTAAGTAGGCTAAATTACTTTTCTTTCAATTTACTCCTAACTTATTTTCTGGCATTCTCAGCTCAAACATCATGCTGCAAGAAGACAAGTCTTGTATAACTCCCTGTAAAAATCATCTGTCTCTCACCGTGGTTCACACTGCAAATCACTCTTCCCTAAACCGGTTTTTAACTCTCCACTCAAGCTGGTGCTTTCTGGATGACACTTTCTCTGACTTTCCCAGGGATACTTATGCATGCCTTCCCATATCTCTCATTAATCCTTGTGCAAGCGCAATGATTTTTAGTAAATTCAGTTATATGATCATCAAAAATCAATTTAGAACGTTTGCATCACCTCCAAAACTCATGCCCATTTGCAATCAATCCCCCTCACAGTTAGACTCCCAGAACGACACCTAGAGAATTGTTTTCTGTCTCTAGAGAGTTGCCTCTTCTACAAACTGTATATCAGCCACTAAGTAGTCTTTTGTGTCCAGCTTCTCTCACTTGGCATCATATACTGAGGTTCATCCACACTGTAGATTTTATCAGTAGTTTATTCATTTATTGCTGACTAGAACTTCATCACATGTATATATAATATTTTGTTTCATTAATCACTAATTCATAAATACTTGGGTTTTAAAATAATTTTTAAATCAATTTCATTCACATGAGTTGATATTCTAATTTTTTTCTAAAACTGTGATTTTACCTTTGATTTTAATATATTAAATATAAATTGAATTTGAACTCAAAAGCTAAATATCAGATTTGAAAAATATACATCATCATCATAATATTCAACTTAGCATGATGCTGTCAATGAAAAGCTGGAAGGTCAAATCCCACCAAATAATCTAACAGATGAGAAGGATAATTATAATGGAATTGATAACAATACAGCTAAAGTTTTTTGGAGGTGATACACACACACACACACACACACACACACACACACACACACACACACATATACATACACACACACATACTGGTCTAAGCATGAATTATCTCAATCTTTCCCTACAATAGTCTGGAATATATCACTGCTATACCAAAAAAGAAACAAACTTAGATGTTAACTTGTTTAAGTCACAGAGCTAGTTAGTGGTATAACCTAGGCATGAATCATGACAGTTGATTTCATAGTAATTAGAGAGATAAAGAAACACTGATGTGAGAGAACCTTAGTATGTGCACTAATCAGAAATCAAACCTGCCACTTTCTTGGTGCACAGTACAATGCTTCATCCCTGAGCCACACAAGCCAGGATGAGGTGAACTATTTTAAAACAATATAATAACAATAAACATTCAAGCAGTTCTTACCTCTTCAGGAAGTTCACTGTACATGGTTTCAGAGGTAGACAACAGAAATATAGGTGAAAATGATGGTATATCTTGTAGCAAGGTCAGAAAAGTTGCTCTCACAGTTTCACTAACAGCTTCCCACCAATCACCAATGTGAGGCATGTAAACAATACTAGGTACTGTTCTCCGAGCTTCACGAAAAATCTAATTAAGGAAAAGAATGGAATTAAAAATTCAAACTGATATTGATCCCAAATATCTAAAGTCTACCCAGTAAACCCCCAAATACAAAAATGCATCAGACCTGTTATAGTAATTCTTTTCAGCCCAAATATAATATTTAAGCTGTACGAGGTCTGATGCGCAAGCCATACAGTCTCTATCTACCCTTGCCCCACCTAAAGTATTTTTCGCCATTTTATTATTCCTATTCAGAAGATATTAATATAAAGGTGTCAAACTGTTCCACTTATCTATAAAATATGCTGAAAATGAAGAGATAAGGATGTCAGAATGATATCAGTTAGGTACAAAAAAAGGAAGACATAGTTTACGTTTGTGCACATTGGCTAAAATCACTACGCACGTGAAATAAACATTTTAAACAAAATGTACCACCCTAGACTTAAAATTAATGTACTACTGCAGAACCACTTCTTCACCTCCCTAATTTACCTTAATTCAATCTTCAATTCAAAATGGTCACAAAATACCCTGGCATCTCTAACAAGCAATAAATACTATATATTAGCACAAAACTCTGATACACTCTGTCAGAAAATACAAGATAAAGTTTCCTTAGGTATTAAAAAGAGTCCTATTGTAGCTTCAGCCACCAAAAAACACCAATAAAGAACGAGTTGGCTATCAGTAAGCTGCCAAGCATAACTACAACCATTTACATATATGTCAACAACAGCTTAAGAGCCCATCAATAAATTCTCACAGGTTAATATGACATCTCTTTAAGATTTTTAACAAGTGTAGAAATAAGTGCAAAAAACTCTCTTCAATTTAGAGAATTCTATTTCTAAGATTCTGTTTTTCCTTATTTTAAAACGCACATTTCAATTAACCTATGTAATGTTCAAGATACAGAAATAAGAATTTAGTATTTAAAATGATTAGGATTAATAAAAACGTTTCTAAGAATCAAAGGATTATTTTTCTTAATGAAGAAGCCTACCAGTTGCATAAATTTTTCAAATATTACATTTTGTACAGTTTTAAACCTCCTGTATAAAATAAAATATATTGCCAATTTAATAATAAACCAGATGAAAGATGTTCAAATAAAATGCTTCCCCCAAATTGGAAATGTAGATGTTATGATCACTCACATCAAAAGTAATATTTGCTCCTTCCCTTCCTTTAACATTTGCATATCCACCAATCCAGAACAGTTGTACAGTACAACTCCTCCAGGACTCAAATTTTGACCTTTTCTGCAAACACGCACCCTCTTATCCTGGATCTTGAAAATCCAAGGATTATTGTTTTCCAAAGTTCTTGTAGAGGATTCATAAGAGAAAAACAAGCATAAATATCGGCAAAATGAAGGAACCACACAGCAGCACAAAGGCAAGTGAGGCATTGGACTTAATAAAGAATAATTATTAATAGATGCCACCCAAATTAGGCATGAAGTGTGAAGACAGTGACCGACATCTTTTGTCACTTTCCAACTCCCGCTCTATGCTGGTAACTAGGGAGAGTCAACTGGGAGAGAAAGATGATTATATGGAAAAGACTAACAAGCTATATAGCTTACTGAGAAACTCACCAAACTAGCTACCTAATTCAATCATACAAGTACCATGTGTGCAGGAAGATGAGAAAACAAAGCCTTTTTAAAAAATGAAATTTTGCCTTTCATTCTAGTACTTGTAGGTTAGGTTTTCTTGGAAGATGTGTTGAGCACACCTAACAGCTAACAAGTGTTAAAGAGTATGGGCAAAGAACTCCAGATTAAGGGATAATGAATGCTTTACAGAGCCAGGAGTTCAATAATGCTGTAGTGTTTTAAACTTATTTGCAGCGCAAAACTAGATATATATAAGCATCACCAAAACTAACAGAGTGGAGGGTTTTTCAAAAATTTTTCTCCTAAGTTTTTAGAGGAGAAACATCTTTAATTTCTAGAAAAATTGAACATCATTACTAAAGCAAGTTTTCTTTTAAATTCTTTGCTCCGTGGTATCTCAGAGTATTAAAATAAACTTTCATATTTTCTTTAAATATATATTCAATCTGTCCTAATACTCCATTTTCATAATGAAAATTCAGAAAGGACAAACTCTGAGAATAGTATTTAAAATTTCAGAAAAAAAGTGTAATCCTATTGTGACTTTTCTATAGTGTAAAAACAGCTCTTCAGCAATTTTCTGGTAAAGTTGTGGAATAAGATACATTCTGTGAAACCAATTAAACAGATAATTCCAAGTAGAAAAATTAAGCCTCGTTTTAGTGAAGCGGCAACTGTCTTGGGAATAAGTGATGCCATTTGATAACTAGAAAAATACTCACCTACAGGGTGTCTTGGATTGGTGGATGTGCAAGGTGTAGTAGAAAACAGAAAAACTGTTATAGAGAAAAAAAGACAGTAGGCCAAATTACTGAACCAACCGTTTCAAAACACCTCTGACATGACCAGCACTCTTGCACAAATAAAATGAACAAACATCAGTGTATGGGAATTGTTCATTTTGATTCTTTAAACAATCTTTAAACTCCAGTTCCTTCTGGCCTCTTCTTGCCCTCAGATAGCATGTTCCCTTATATAACATAATTTTGTTTCTTTGTGTGTGTGTTTTTTATAAATCACTAACTACTTCCTCTGAATATTAAAGATATGAAAGGCAAAAATCAGGCCACTGAATTTAGAAGTACCCATGTAAGGAAACACTAGTAATATAAGCTGCATCTATAGTCCTTATCATCTCAAAAGCTAGACTTTCAAGTCAGTACTTTAGCTGCCAAAATAAAATGTTCAGGGCACAAAAATGTACTATATTTTAAAAATTAAGAATAGACAGCCCAGCTTATATGGCTAAGTGGTTGCATATCGACCTATGAACTAGATTATCACAGGTCAGGGTACATGCCCAGATTGTGGGCTCGATTCTGTGTGGGGAGTGCAGGAAGCAGCTGATCAATAATTCTCTCTCATCATAGATGTTTCTATCTCTCTCTTCCTCTCCCTTTCTCTCTGAAATAAATAAAAATATAATACATAAAAAGAATATACAGCCCATGCCATTTCCTTCAGAACGTGAAAACTAGAATAATTGAAAAACAAATATAAATGAAGCAGAGAGCTCCAAGCCAGTACAGCTTTCTCTTTCCTAAAAGGAGCTATATAAGAGAGAGGAAACAACTTTTTGTCATCAATAAACTTTCAGAATTTGTTTTGATCATATTTACAGTATTATAAATGTGCTAAAGTAATACAATGTAAGTAAAAGAAAAGTCTTAGGGGCTAAAATATTCTCAATTTTTATAAAAATTTAAAAGCACTACTAAAATAAATTAATGCCTTATACCATGTTATCACAAAATATTAAAATAGATATCTATGTTGCTGATATTTTTACTCCAGATATATCATTTTACTCCATTTATATTCTATTTATTGAGCACCTCTGTAAAAATAAGGCACTGTTTAGGATATGAAAATTCAGGAATGAAGAAATAAAGTACCAGTTTCTTTCCAAGCATACAAAAATCAACTTGTTATAAAACACAACAATACTAGGATTTCTGAATAACAGTTATAATACAAATCAACTTGTTATGAAAATTAAACTGCCCAAATTTCTTTTCTGATATTTTCATTGCCTAAAAACTTCAAGAATGTTTATAAATGTGGTACATTCTGGACCGGTATGATTTAATTTGTTTACAATTCAAAACACAGAAAGGCATGTACACAAACACAAGAGTATCCAAAGTATACACAGTCTGCTAGGAAAAACCCAGAAACCCTTATGCACAAACACACGAGAATCCAAAGTAAACACATAGGTAAGTATATTAGTTCCTTAATGCTACTTATTCAAAAAGGATTTCCTCTGAGCATTTCCAGATACCTTTTCTTTCTGAGAAAAGAAAAATACTAAAGTTTTCACCTAAAGAAAAGACCTTATTAACCATTTAAAATGATATGCAACATCGTATAGGACTCAAAAGCCAAAGCTTTGACAGACCATATATAAACGTATCAATTCAATCATACTTCTGTATTAATGAAAAAGATAAAATACAGCAGATTCATCAATCACTTTTTTGCCAAAATCAACAATAGAAATAATACAAAAGGCAACAAAATATATTTGAAGATGTCAGAAAAGGGAAAGCATGGTTGTTGTTTTTAAGAGTGTTAATACAGGCACGTCTTTTACTACAGATACTAACACCTCCGACCTTGTAGAATTCAATAATCAATCATGAACTTAACGAAACAACTATAAATCTTCCAGACTACACCAAGGTTTTCCATTCTCTTTCTAGAGCCTTTGGAGACTATGGATTACTGTTAACATGTACACACAAACACACACACTTCCACTTTGAGAACTCTGGCAAATGTTTCGGTAATAAATGTCTAACTAGTATCCAGTAATCAGCAAAAGTACATTTCCCAAAGGTCTACTGAAGACCTAGAATAGTAACACCTGGGATATTTAAAGTGCAGATTCCTAGGGTTCACCCCAAATTTAATGAATCAGAATCCATGGGTGTGGAGCCAGGGAATCAGAAAATTTAATAAGCATGCCCAGAAAATTCTTATGCTCACTAAATCTTGAGAAACAATGAGAAAACTCTACAGCAGACACTAACTCCTCTACTATTTTTCACCCAGTTAGTAATATTAATCAATCGTTCAGACAGTCAGAGGAAGAAAAGTTTTGTCATACATATGCATGCATGTGGATATATTTTAAGAACAGAGAATTAAATATGATTCCCACTGTATAAAGAAATATCAAGGCCCTGGCCGAGTAGCTCAGTTGATTAGAGCATCGTAGGGTGAGCCATGGTTGCAGGTTTGATGCCTGGTCAGCGCACAATCAACCAATGAATGCATGAATAAGGAGGACAACAAATGGATGTTTCTGTCTCTCTCCTTTCTCACTCTCTCTATTTAAAATAAAAAAAATGTAAAAAAAGGAAATATCAAGTAGAACTCTTCCCCTTTCCATCTT